TATAAAATACTTTTCAAGATATGTTAATTTATAGATATTGCAGTAACCCAATTTTAATTATGTATTGAAAAACAGCTTCCAGCCAAATTTTCACAACAATTCAGTTGAAAAATAAAATTCAGCTGTGTTGGTGAAATAGAAATAACAAGTTCAATATACAAATGATATCCAAATTCAGTCAGGAAAAGGAATTACCATAAAATGACTGACAAATAATCAATAAATACTCTACAATGAGCAAAATAACTGGCAAGTAGTATACAATACTACATACAGTAATTGTGATATCTCTATGATCAAAATAAGTAATGTTTTAATGATTCAATATACAACTAATGCAATTGTTGGTTTATTTGTGCTTGCAGCGAATATGGTAGTCAAATCAGAAAGAGAACATGTACATGTATGGACCTCATGATATACATGCATTTGATTTTGTATGATACAATAAGTTAAAACAATGTTGATACAGTATACAGTATCAGATGTTTTAATTAGTCCCCGTTCGTTCCAAAAACAGGGACTTATAATCCGTGCATCATTCAAACTTGGTACATAGATCATACATGTTAGGATACATGTCCATAATGATTTATTTCGCAATTGGATCAAATATGGCAGGCATCTTGTTTTTGTTTTTTTATGCGGTATCTTGGACGTGCTCCGTCAGTTTTCATTCAAATTTGGCACATACATGTACTTTATACATGTTAGGATGCATGTCCATGACAATTTGTTTCAAAATCTGGTCAAGGATGGCCGATTGACAGCCATCTGACTTTTTGGCCTTACTACTATATTTCCACAATTTATGTACCATTTTCATTCATATTTGGCACATACATATCAGTGTGTTTCATAATCAGGTCAAAGATGGACGAATAACGTTTATTTTATTTTTGGCCATATTACTACTACACGGAACACCTGTTTTGATGTAAATAAGCAATCTGTTGTATACGCCACTTGGAACTCAAGTTTCAAAGTCTCGCGACAACCCCTTCGCTTTAATATGACGATCACAAAGAGAACTTTCAAAAATTTAACGGGGACTGTGTCTTTTTCAATGACTTGTATTTTTTTATGTGTTTTATTTTAAATATTTATATATTGAGCTCCCAGAAGGTTTGGCATCATGCATGTTATGACTTATATGAACGTTTCAACTCAGGAATATTTGGGAACATGTATTTCCAAACACACAAACAATTTTATACATAAAGGTACATGTACTTTAATGGTGTAATACTATTAAATAGAAAAACAACTATAGGAGAAATGTTTTATTTATTTTTTTATTAATAGACTTTTATTTGGTATATATGTATTTATTTGACAAATAAACAAAAATATGTATTTATTGAAATAATAAAACCTGTGTAATATGACAGATTTTAAGTATTAAAAAAATGTAGGCATTCATTGTGTATTTTGATTTATTTATTTAGGTATGTTTGAGGTTTTGGTTCTGAAACAGTATTGAATTCTATCCAAATATATCATTTATTTGTCTTTGTAAGTAATATCTATTTATTTGTCACTAAACATGGCAATATGAGTGATAAATGCAGGGCAAGCAAAACTGCTCATATGCTGCAGACTAGTTATTTTACAATTGTTGACACATATAGGTTCATCTAGTCCAGATTGTGTCGATGTTAAATAATTCTGCGAAATTTTTAGTCCCTGTTCATGTGCAACCTGAAAAAGGGACTACTAATTCTGTTTCTGTGTCTGAATGTCTCTAACATTTTCTCAGAAATTCTACAGCAGAAACTTGATAGGTTGATGAACAATGTGTCGAATAGGCTCTTAATTTTGTTTCCAAATCTGAAAATCCTAAGTAGGTCTTTTTCATGATTTTCAATACAAATTACCTCTCTCAACAACACTGACAGAACAATTGTATGTGCTTATTTTAGTGTTATTTGACATGTTCACATAGATTTAATTTAGAGTATTTTACTTATCAGCGAAAATAGCGAAATTAAAATCCAGTGAATAATTAATGCATTTACAGTAGCTTAGATCTATAAGTAATGCTGTTTCTCTATTTGGCAGTGCAATTTATAATACATGTACTGTTTATATTCTATTTGGCTCAGTGGTCTTATTCACTAGTTACCAGAAGAACTAGTAACCTTGTTTGATTGCAGGAACTTCAAGAACGCGACATAAGAGCGGAGTTTGGTTGCACTTGTGTACTACATGTACAAGATTTTGGACATGGGTCAGTGGAAGTTTTCAGTACAATACTAGATTATGGGAAATCCCTTTATGTACATATTCATCCACCTGTTTGCAGATGTTCCATGTATTATTTTAAGTATTTTATAATCATGACGAGGACTGTGACATTCATGTCTTATTGAAAATAAAATTTTGTACTCTTGTACAGCGCAAAGCAGTTCAGTTCTTGCAACAAGTGTGGTTTGACTTGTTTGAAAAATGTTTCAATAGTATGCAGAGGAATTGTGTAAATATATACACAATACAATGATAGTAAGGTGTTTGATACAAGATTTGATTTTTAGTGATTGTCGGTCTCCGTCGTCGTCAGTGTCAATGTTTTACTTTTTGACTTCTTCTTGAAAACTACAAGCCTGAATGCTTTGATACTTAGTGTATATGTACCTTGGATAGACCTCTCTTAGATTTGTTCATTTCATGATGATACCTTCAATTCTCTAATTTTGGTGAATATTTTTGTAATATTTGGTAAAAAGTGATATTTAGAACTTCTTGTTGAAAACCGCAAGTCTGATTGCTTTGATACAATGTACTATACATATTCTAATGATATCTTCTGTTCTTTAATTGCAATGTGCATTGCTAACAGCAGAGCTATCTCAGCCGAAAGGCTGCTTGTTTTTTTAAATTCTATTTGTATCTCCTCATGCCTTCATGACTAGTGTGTTGAATGTCTTGGATAAAACATGTTTTTGACATGTGCACATATAATAAATTGTCAAATTTAACAATTTGATTTAGTAAACAGTGTGTGAAGACTAAATTTTTAACCATCGTTTCCATTTTGTTGATGATTTAGTGCATTTACATGTATATGTAGTAGAGCCCATTTCCTCATCAATGATCAAATCGTTGAGCTGTAACTTGCATATATATTTTCATGAATTCATGCACTAATGGCTGCTACATGCTCTGTTATGTCCTCTATTGGGATTGTATGGTGCATGAATACAGAAGGAATGCTGATAATGCTTACTGAAGTACATGCATATGTAAAACCATACTTATTGTGTTGATGTTGCCATCCACCCAGGAGCGAAAATAGTATATGAGATCTGGTGTGGCATTTGTCATTTCAAAAGCCATGTTTTTATTCTCAAAGTTGGAGCTACATGTATGTTATGATTGTCTAAATGCTGTCAGAATCAATCACGAGAAGAGACAATGTTTTGTTTTATTAACACCAATATGACCTTGTATAAGCATTAAACAATCTGTTCACAAAAATATAAAAAAACAAGCCATACATGGCACAGTCCCCGTTAGTTATCAAATTTAAGATATAAAGTTTTGTTTATAGTAATATAGCTGGAATATAAACATGTCAGGAATATGATTATTTAACATTTAAATGATTGACATTTGTATCTGATCATCAAATGAGTATTGAGAGATATTGCTCTGGAACAGCATTAATTAAAACAAAATCAGCCATTATGAATATATGTATAATGAATATATGAAATTTGAACATAGTCAGTCAAAGCATGTCAGAGATATGGCTCTAGAAGCCCATTCATTAAAACAAAATGGCCACTAGTCAGCCATTCAGAATCCGATCTAAAAAATAGAACAAGTTTTTTAGCACAAAAATAGCCACCATTAGGCCACTTTGAAAAGGACATGATGTATAATGAATATTAATAGTTTGAACATAATCAGTCAAAACAAGTCAGACATATGGGTCTGGAAACCCATTCATTAAAACAAAATAGCCACCGGACAGCCATTTTGAGTCTGATCTGAAAAATAAAATGACGTGCATTAGGAACCCATAATGTCTAATGTATGTACAAAGTTCGATCAAAATCCATCCATAAATGCCATAAATTCTTGATATTTGATGATTTTTTAGCACAAAAATGACAACCATTCGGCCATTTTGAATAGGATCGTCAAACCAATATATCTGTTTATCTGTCTATCCATTTTGAATGTTATCTTAAAAACAAAATTATTTGCATCAAGGTCCCATAATGTCTAATGTATATATCAAGTTTGAACAAAATCCATCTGTAAACAGCCGAGAAATGCTTGATTTTTATGATTTTTTAGCACAAAGATGGCCGCCATTAGGCCATCTTGAATCAGATCGTAAAACAAAATGATGTTCATCAAGGTCCTATAATGTCCAACGCATATACAAGGTTTGAACAAAATCCATCTGTAAACAGCCGGGAAATGCTTGATTTTGATGATTTTTGTACAAAAATGGCCGCCATTCGGCCATCTTGAATCAGATCGTGAAACAATTGATGTGCATATGTATGATATCATGTATGTGTGAAGTTTGATTGTGATTGGTCCAGGCATTTCTAAGATACAGGTCCGCACGCACGGACACACAGAGGTCAAAACATAAGTCCCCGTTTTCGGACTTCGTTCGAACGGGGACTAAAAATGTCAAGACTTTCATGAAACTGTATTGATCAATCCTAACAATAAATTATTTTCTATTTATAGTTTTAAATGACTAGACAAAAGTGTATTATTGTGAAGGTTATTGATTAAGTAATTATTTTATTTTTTAATATCACATATTAAGAAAAAAAAAATACAAAATCCATATGCGGTTGTACGTGATGAACCAAGTACAATCATTAAACAATAGTGGTGAATTACTTGCATAAAAGATATATTAAACAACTTGTTCAAGAAAGGGAATAATTGTTCTCTGGAAGGTTACTGTGCTATCTGTGACATTGATTTACAGAATGTACACCTGGCTATTCATATAATGAGCTCACATGGGAACACACACACACACACACACACACAACATATGTTGGACTCATTAGCAATGCATATATGCCACAGAAGAATTCCTTTCTTGAAGGGAGATGCATCATTAGTATTCAAGTGGGGAAAGGCAGGCCCTTCACATACCAATACCGTATCAACAAGAAGATAGGCTTTTCAACTTTTCTTGTATTTTCTGAAGTTCATCAGTAAGCCAATCAGGTGGTGGAATTACATCTTTTAATTCCATTATATGGTTGACATTCTCTTCAATGGAGTTAACTGCTTCCCTGTATGCGGAATCATCATATTTGGTTCTTTTACAGAAGGGCTGAATCAGACAGAAAATCAATTATTAATATCAAAGTTATGGGATTTAAAAATCCACTAATACTGATCATGATAGGTTGAGTAGTTTTATTGTAGCAATGTGGCTTTAGTCCAGATCAACAAAATTACCGAATGTGTTATTTGTTGAGTTATGAGCTGCATTTTTCACTTAGTTTGCTCATTCATGTAATACCATAACTGAACCACAACAGACAAGTTTTGTGTTCTCTGGTCGCTTAAGCCACAATTCACTTCAATCAGCAGAAATGTGCAGAATTAGGAAGATATTTTACTATATCAGCATTAGTTTCGATCATGTATTGTAGTCATCCAAGTACATTTGAAAAGTTAAATACAATGTATAATTAATATCATTTTGGTATCAGTAGTTACATGCATCTTTGTAAGATATTTTTGGGGGGGCAACATACAAGCATATCTGTAAAACTTGTGAAACTTGTGAAAAACTGTAGAAAATGGGACAACTGATTGTAAATTCAATCTCCAATGCTGTCACGAGCAGGTTCAGTAGTGTAGCAAACAATGGACACACCCAGAAACTCAAAATAAGAAAATACATCAGTGCTGTCAGCATTTTCCTCCTGTGTGTTCATTTGGTATCAATTAAGGCAGCGGGACTATTATTTGCATACTTGTTTTTATCTTCTAATTGTGACTAAAATGACTACAAATAGACCCGGAAAAATATATATTTTTAGAATCGCCAGACTTCAAGCTTTTCACAAGTGTATTTTGCATGCCCGTATCTGCATTCTACGACACGTTACTCAATCAAAGGTGAAAAATTACTTTTTCTGTAAAAAAAATAATTACGCATTTATGCTGGCGATAAGTATTTTTTTCACTTTTCCTAGTTGTTCAATAGTCTGGTAAATTGAATGTGTCTGGTCAGTTTTATTCAAGCAACGCGTTTTAAAAAATAGTGTGCTGAATTTCAATTA